TGTTCAAAGTGTTTATTCAGGGTTGAAGCTTTTAATAACCCCAGCAGTTTTTCTTGTCCATGTCAAGTCAATAAAATGCACTGGTGCCATGCTCTAGCCAAAAATATCTTCGGTTGGGAATCCCTAACCTGCTGAAAACTATGAACTTTGAAGAGGCTTTGAATCTGCAGATACCAAACAGAAAACCAACAATAAAACTCTTACTGAAGCTGCAGTTACTAGGAAACATTGGAGAACTGCAAATATTAAATCTGGTGACTTTATTCTGACCAGTCTACTCTGCGTAAAATATTTACTTATTCTGGACTTGTAAAAATATTTGATTGCAATTCATCATGTAATTGCTCATACAGAAGAGTTGTTAAAGTAAAATTGCCCCTTCAAATGCATGCGATGTAGTAAGGTTGTTATCGCTTCTATGCCATAAATAAAAAGGAAAAAAAAACCTTTTATTACTGAAGGTTCTAATGTAATTACTGGGGAAAAAATCCTAGAGAGAGTGAGTCCTACCCTGACTAAACATGAAAGCACATCATGTGCTCAGAATAATTTATCAGACTTTCCCAAAGCAAGCATCAGATCTGATTTTGTGATACTTCTCTTTTTAAAAAGTCCACTGTTTTGTCCTCCACCTCCCCCCAGATCAGCATTTAATTTCTTGGGCCCTGATCCTGCAAAGACTAATAATGCATGTGCTTAACACTGCACACAGGACATAAAGATAAGCACATGTGTGAGGCTTTGCAAGACTTGGCCCTGCCTTAGTGTTAATGGACTCATAGGCGTACTAGGATTTCCGTATTTGGGGAGAGCTGCTCCAGTCAGGCCACCCATGCCTGCCCCAGTCTTGCAGGATGAGGGGAGCAATTCCCCCAAATTCCCCTCCAAACTACACTCATGAATGAAATTTATATTAAAATTAACATAAGCTGTGATCTCTACCATATTACATTTGAAGTATCTTGTCATGTTTCAATACCATGAGCTTCAAAGGATGCAATATCAAATTATAAAAGAAAATAGATGTTTACAGTGACTTTTATGTCACAATTTTTACAGTGACTTGTGTGTGACTGAGAAGCATTGGGTGCTTCAAATCAGACTGACATAAATGCAGTGAGATGGAACAGATGGAGGTGCACAGAAAAAGATCACAAGCACAAGCCCTGCAATGTACACAAATCCTGACAAGGGACCATGTTATTTATCCAGTAATGGTGTACAATAGCAGCATAGCTTCCTCTATACCATTAAGTGGGGGCACAGGCTGTTGCCTTCTACACATACGTCTGTGATCCTGTCCCTCTGCACATCCTGCTCTTCTCCAAGTGCAGGGACTGCAACTATGCGGGGATGTCATGCAGGCTACATGAAGGGCAGGCTCTTTGCCTCCTTCCCACACTGTCTGTCTGTCGCTTACAAAGGTTGTCAATCTCAGAAAGCGTCACTGTTTTGTTGTATTCTTACAACCAATTAGCAGCATAGAAAAGACTCATCACAAAAGATTCTCTCTCCTACCCTCTCCCCTCTTCACCCTCATTTCAAAGCAACTTTTAGTCACATGAGCTATTTGTTTTTTAAAAGTTGTCAATTGAAATAAATATTAAAAATGCATTTAATATTTTATAGCACTATAGGATGACAGAAGCATTTGTGTTATTCTCTTAGGGCTTGATCCATAAGAACGTTATAAAGTCAATAGGAGACTTTCCATTGACTTCAATGCTCTTTGGGTAACGCCCTTTTAGAGCATGTTAGTAGGAACTTTATAATTAGGCTGGGAAGGATTACAGTTTTATCTGTAAATGTTGATAAAGGTCCATTTACACACCGAGACCAACGAAAATATTTCCATTGATAATTTAAATTTATCAATAGGCAACATACGAAAAGTGCTATTTGAGAACGTACTAAAGTTTGATTTAAGGATATTTACTTTGTGTATTATAACATATGATGTTTACAATTTGTGTGTTACCACTTACAAAGCTAATGTTTTCGACTTGCAACATCAACTGTCATTAAAAAATGATCTTGACCACCCCAGCATTTTGCACAACTGGGAAAATTTAAAATAAATAAAAATTGGGAAAAAGTTTTAAAATAAACATTGATATTATCTGATAAAATTAGAAAAAAAATCTAATTCTGACAAGCCAATTTGTAAGCTAGAAGCAGCAATACTAGTAGCGAACTAGTAGTATTGGTAACACTGTTATTAGTGCTGTTGCTCCTATCAAGCTTGTCTATGCTTTAATATTTCTGTTCCTTGCCAGCACGTAACTATGACCTGTACCGACTAGCCTTCGGGTCCGGACCTGCACACACTCCAAACATAGAACTCCTAAACAGAGACAGATTCTTTTGTTATAAGGCTTTTCACACATCCAGGGCTATAACTTTTAATCTCGTCACGGCTGTGCCATGCCACATCAGTGTGGCAGTAGAGCACAGCATCATTCTTCGAAACTTGGCACACTCTGGGATTGCTAGCATGTCAAAGAATACTACACCTCACCCTACAGGAGGTAAGTACAGCCTATCATACTAGCTGAGGAAACATCCTAGTGATGAACAGTGAAGTCAACAGGTATTGATGGGACGCGGCAACTTGACGTATTTGGCCTTCAACTTGAACTTGACTTCAGGTCAGTTTCTGAACATTCATGTGAACATTAGTGATATTTAGCTTTGATGATGTTTTACAAATAATACAGTTCAAGGCTTGTTATACATCTGTTTGTTATAGTAAAATGACTGTCCTTGAGCACTGTCCAGAATTGTAGCTTTATGGGACAGTTCAGGAAGGAATGTATTCTCTACACTTTACCACTTACTCTGTGTTCCACGGCTTTTTGGGAGTAATTTGGCCTAACACATCTGAAAATGTACTTGTGCTGTTATCTCTGCTTGAAGGAGAAGGCAGATAGCTAGTAGGATATGTAAATGGAAAGCTAACTCTTCCTTTCCAGGAACTGCGTTATTTGGGAAAGTGGATAACACACACTAATACTACAACTACACTACCACAGTAAGTCAACCCAATGTGAGCAACTCCAGCTACATAAATAACGTAGTTGGAGCCAAGGTAACTCAGACTGACTAGTCGTGGTGTCTACACCACTCAGGGTAGAGACACTCTCTAGTTGATTTACCTTATTCTTTTTGTTCAGAGTAGAGTAGTCTACGGTCTATTTGGTGGGTATTCTCTAGACCCACTAAATCAACCGCTGGTGTAGTGATCTCCATTCTACTGATCTTAGCTGTCGTGTAGATGTAGCTATGGACAATCCTGGCTATCTCTAAAATTGTGTCAGGTAACCAGAGGACAAAGCCCAAACAAGACCTTTTAAAAGCATGCACTAAGTTGGGCAGACTTCCCTCTCTCCTCAGAGCCAAAAGTCAAATTCTTCCTTTTGTTTATTATTGTTATTTTGGTTTCATGTTCATGTATTGGTTTGAAAGGTCAGTGATGGCAAAGTTACAAAAAAGGCTTCTATAGAAAGCTAGCAGAAAACAAAAAAGGTAGTGAGATCTGTGTTCAGTGTCTGGACATGTGCCAAATACAGTAAACATTAACATGCAGGTCAACATCCTGTATGTAAATAGCTCACTAAACCTAGCTATTCTGCACACATTAGAATCCTAAATCAGACAATGATAGGCCCCAGAGGTGATTAACCTTTACGATCTGAAATTAAAGTTAATGCCTGAATTCCATTTAAAGAAAGCAAAGCAGAATTTTAAACAGCTGTTTTCAAATACCCAACTACAAATCCTCCTTTTTCATTTTTTTGTTATACATTATGGTGCTTATTCTGCTTTGTGGAGTATCAGTAACCACATGTAGAATATAGAGATCAACTAATGAGCCTCTACACTTTTCCTACATGGATATTTTCCTTACTTTTTAAGCTACATCAGATGAGTGGGAGTTTTCAATTATTTATTAATGTCACTTGTTACATTGACTATTTAAGCGATGGTACTTAGTGGCCAGTTTGTTAGAACTGTGGTCCTGATTCTCCTGTTACAGCTGTTCTAAGCCAGTGGAAATGCCTTGCCATCAATGAATTACTCCTAACTTACATTGGACAGTCCAGATAAGAGGAGAATCGAGCCTCTAGCTTCAAACACAGAGCACTTAAATCATATAAACTTTAATAATATACCTTTAGAAGGGGTAGGATACACCAAATTTTAAATAAAGCACAAACAGATTACTATTTCATGGTGATCATTTAGTTTTACTTACTTGAACTTACATATTTCAGTGCTTCACAGACCTTCCTCAATTCAGTCATAACTTAAAAGAAGCATGTGCTGGTGTATGTGTATACATATGCATGAGACTGTGTGCCTAGCTCTGATCAGTGGTGTTTAGTTCATACTTAATGATGAAAAAGTATAATCCTCATCTTAGTGCCCGCTTCACTTCCACTGTGAGGCAGTGCAATCCTAAAACCAGTTTGCAACCAAGACTAACATTTCCATCAATACTTCCTTAGCACCATCTAGTTCCTTTGTATTTCACATTAGTATGTTAGCGCATCTTACATTCTGTTAGAACCATGGTACCCAGTATCCATGACAACGTGCAGGCAGTATGGTATTGGTTTTGAGAATTCCTGGGCTTTGGAAGGTAGGGATAGAAGGGCTGCTAATATCTTCCGTCTTTTTGCTGGAACCTAGTCTCTGCAAGGAGT